CCCCCCCCCTTCCCCTCCCTTGCTCACACTTGCAATCAATCCAGCAGTTTGCCTCCTGTGTCTTGGGGATGTAGCACGTCCCTTTTCAGGGGGATAACAATGTGCTTGTCACTAAGCTTGCTGAGTTGCTCAATTTCCCCACCAGAACGTGCTTGTGTCTGCATGCCCCATTAAGACTCCAGCAGCGGCCACAGCGAACTGAAAGTCATGGCTAGATACTGAGAGGATGTATCGGCCTGTGTATGGCCAGTTTGATTCATTCGATTGGGAAAATTGGAAATTCGCTGTCACAGTCACCAAGTGGTTGACTTAACCACCAGTACCCATCCCAGCTATCCTGCGGAAACGCACTGGCTAGAACCAAAATGGCTGGCGGGGCTCAAGGCCTTGTCCTTGCAACAGTTTGGAATGTGAGGGTGGGCAAGAAGCCACATTGCGGGGGGGAATGCCGCATTGGAAAAGGGAAGCCGGGACTTACAGGTGGTTGAAGGGATGTTCCAATATTTATTTTCTAGCATAGGGCTGCTCTCTTTTCTAGCATAGGGATGCTGGAGAAACAGGGATGTGGCAAGGTGTGACTGAAGTGATCAGTATGGAGCCCTGACTTTGTGTATAAGGTCCAGGAGAACCAACGTGAAACGGTTTTCACCTTTCTGCAGTCACAGATGCGGGCCCTAGAGTTCGATCTGTAGGTCTGTCGGATAGGGGTCATAGCTGCGTAGAGGCCGTAGCTGTAGCGTTTCTCAAAAGGTCAAGGTCGTAGTTGCTACAGTCCTGAAAGGTCAAGGTCATAGCTGCTACAGTCCCGAAAGGCCAAGTCCACAGACTTCCGGAAGGTCCGGAAGTGGCCTTTCGAGAGTTCCCCACGTTCAGTCAGAGGCAAGTGGGCAAGTGGTGAAGTCAAACTTCGCTTAGTCAGCGGTACCCAGTCCCAGTCTCACTTGCACAGTCAGCAAGTACCATGAGGGACTGTGTGCACCAGGGGCCCGGTGGAAAAGGGCAGACCAACGACTTACAGAAGTATAAATCAAGAGGCAGCGCTCAGCCATTCATTCATTCGCTGCGTAAGCCGTGAGGAAGCGCTGCCCCAGTGTCTTGTGCGAGGTGGTCTGCAGAGCGCCCGAAGTCGAAGTGGGACAGAAGGAGATAGCGTAGCCATAGTAGTAGTAGCGAGCGGCCATAGCCGCCAGAGGTAGAGATAGCCGTAAGTGTGTATGTATGTGTGTGACAGGGTGTGTGCGTGGGGTATTCAGGGTGATCCAGAGTTGAGTTGGTGTGAACGGTGGTGTTGGGAACAGTATGACGAGTCGGGATGTACAGGCACTGATGCGCCGTAGCCTATTGAAGCGAGTTTGCATCTGAACTGCATTCACGGTTTCCATATCTCTGAGCTTTGAGTGGGTGCTTGGCGCCAATGTGGATTGCCATCTGTTTGCATGTATGCGAAGTGGAAAAGAAAGCGAGACTGATTGCAGACGCCATGTTGTGCTTAGAAAGGATGAAAGTAGTTGTGGGGATGTCAAGGTCCATGCTTCTACAGCATCAGCATAGCACTACAGGACCTCTAAGACAAGAGTAGGTCTCTGTAGATAAGGTGTTGCGCTGTCTTACCCCTCCACCGTCTTCGCCCGAATACGACATACGGTCACTATCGCTGAATTTTGCGCAACTTCAGTCTAAATGCAGCAACAATGACCGTACGTTGTATTCAGGTGAAGGCTGTAGTGGAAGAGAACTTACTGAAACGGTTTTCACCTTTGCAGAAGCAGATGCAGATCCCAGGGTTCGATCCCTAGACCTTACCTGCACCCGTGTACAGTATCAAGTAGACCCCTGTGTGTTTGAGCCCGTGACCTGTGTTTGGTAGTTGACTGTTGTCTGTCGTAGGTCTGTGTAGCTGTAGGGGTTTGATCTGTAGGTCTGTCAAATAGGGGTCACAGCTGTGTAGAGGTCGTAGCTGCTACAGTCTCGAAAGGCCAAGTCCACAGACTTCAGGAAGGTCCGGAATTTGCCTTTCGAGTTTGCTCTCACGTTACTCACAGCTGACCAGAGGCAAGTGGGCAAGTAGTGAGTTCAACTTCGCTTAGTCAGCGGTACCCAGTCCCAGTCTCACTTTGTCCAGTCAGCAAGTACCATTTGGGACTGTGTGCACCAAAGGCCCGGTGGACAGGGGCAGACCAGCGGTCAACAGAAGTATAAATCAAGAGGCAGCGTCCAGCCATTCATTATTACTGTGTGAGCCATGCAGAAGTGCTGCCAAGGCGACTTGTGCGAGGTGGTCTGCAGACTCCCGGAGTCAAAGTGGGCTGAAGGAAGGAGACAGCATCCAGTGCTAGTGTTAGCAAGCGGCCATACCCGCCATAGCTTAGCAGTTAGTGGTTAGTGATTAGAGATGTGTGTCTGAAGCACAGTGTGTGTGTGTGCGTGTGGGATATCCAGGGAGATCCAGAGTGAGTGCATGTAAACAGTGGATGTAAACTCTGAGTTGATAAGTGAAGGCGTGCAATCGCCATAGCCATCCTGAAGCAGGTTTGTCTCTGAGTTGTGTGGGCGCTCTGCGCCAGAGCGATTTGCTATCTGTTTGCATGCATGTGGAGTGAAAAGAAGCGAGTCTGATTGTATTGGTATCGGAGCAGGTTCCCGCTATTTCACGCGCCATAGCAGAAGTACGCCGTTGAAGAAGAAGGGTCCGCCATAGCCGCGCCGTTGAGGAAGGTGCCGCGTACCTGCAAAAAAGACAACGACGAAGAGAGAGAGAGAGAGAGAGAGAGAGAGAGAGAGAGAGAGAGAGAGAGAGAGAGAGAGAGAGAGAGAGAGGAGCTATACAAGATTGGTTGTGCGACCTATAAAAGGAGGTTACCATATCTACCGAGCTCAGACATCGAGAAAGAAGACACAGAGGAAGAAGAAGGGAGAGACGAAGGAGGAACAGGAAAGACATAGCCGAGGTGGAGGAGGAAGGAGAGACAAAGAAGGGAGAAAGAGAAACTATACCCGGGGGTGAAGAAGATAGAGACGAGGGATGAGAAAGAAGCCATAGCCAAGGGTGAAGGAGGAGGAAGAAGAAGGAAGGCGACGGGAAGTGGAAGAGAGAGGGTTCACAGCCATAGCCAACGTTGACCAGCTGATTATGAACGTTGACCAGGTGGTTTTCCAACGTTGACGGGGGGTGTATGCTGGTGTTGACCAAGGAGTTGACCGAAGTGTTGACCAGCGTTGACCAAGGAGTTGACCGGGACGTTGACTATCGTTGATTGAGGTGTTGACCATAGTGTTGACCGGAGCTGTTGACCACAAAGTTTGACCAAGCTGGAGTTGGTATACTCTCGTCAAGCCTTCAGCCTTATATATAGAGAGAGAGGAACTAGAAGAAAGAACTAAATTTTTATCTTATATTGATTGTTTTTATGGTCTATTATTGATGAGTATTCTATTAGAATTATTATTCTATTCTATGTAATATTGTATGATAATTATTATAGATTCCATTTATTGTATAATTCTAGAATTATTAATTCTTTATAGGATCTTACTTGTATCAATAAACTAATTAGAATAAGTAGAATATCTATATACATATCTATCTAGATAGATATGGATATAGATTTATCCCCTCGCCCTATGGATCCGCACATACCCCATGGTACTTGCTGAGTCAGTCTGTCTCTTCTTTCTGCATTGAGTCTCTTTTGTCCAGGTGATAGGAACTCTATGTATGAGGTCATAGAGCTGTGTTGACCAAACCCACACGGGCTGAGTAGAGCTAAAGGCCGTGTCTGACGACTGACTGACCCAGAGGACAAACCCTCCCAAGGACCGGTACAGACCGGCGGGCTGCTCAGTGTGGCACGGTAGGCCCAAAATCCAACTTGTGGCCTGCACAACCAGCTGTCTACGTCTTGAGAGGACTTGTTGATCGCGTCGTCCTGTTTGCGACGTTAAATCATTCCTGAGGAGTTACGGGGGATCTCCTTAAATGCCTCCT